CCTCTTCGAGGCTTTCACGGAGACTGTCCAGGTCGCCGGTCAGTCCACGCACTTCACCGTTCAGCTTGGCTTTTATCTGTTAATTATAAGTCATACAAAAAACGGTAAATCAGCCATCATTTACCCTAATTGTCCATTGCACTAACTGACCCATTCTACCATAATACTACTTAAGGAATATAAGTAATATATTAATTCAAGTTCAAAAATTTCCGTCTACAAAAGTTTCGTCTCTAACACTCATCTCATTTAAGCCTGTAATCAAACTAGGAAAGTACAAGATTTCCCAATCGAATCACATCAGCCAACTTACTCGGCTCTCGTCCTCGAGGTTTTTTCTGGCTTCATCCACCTGTCCTGCAAGTTGTAGCTTAAGTTTAGTTAATTGACTAATCTGGGACTCGGCTTCCTCCAGTTGTCGAATCAAGTCGGCAACCTCTTGGCTGGAGCGAGATTTGGATGAGCTGAATTCACTCAATTGCTGATTGCTTTCATCCAATTTGGAGGTCAACTCGATCACCTGACAATCGAGCGTCTTGACTGTTTTCTCGGCGTTAATCTGGAAAGAGTTGGTGGAAAATTGGAGAGTAGAGATTAGAATGATTGGCCAGCAGCCGTCAGAACTAGGATTACGTAAATTTTATTGCTCATGTAAATGTGTAAATGAGATGTGTGCTGCTTGCTTGCTGTCTGACTTGTAAAGAATACAGAAATGTCACTCACCTTGCCCTTGCTGAGTTGTTCAATTTGTGCGTGAAGATCTTCGATCACACCTTTGAGATCGTTTCTTTCCTTCTCAGCTCTGTAAGAGAGAACTAGATTACGAAGTTGTTTGCGAAATAACTGCCAGACTAAATTAATTTAGTAAATAAATTTAGTAATGACCTTAAGAATATATTAATAATAATAAGTAGTAATTATAGTAATATTTTAAAATAAATTGGTTACGAAGGTACTAAAGTAGCTGATGAAAGCATTAGCTGCTGAAATGGAATGAGATCCACAAATGGCGAGTTCTCCACTTGCCTGGTTCTTGCTTTGTTGGATTGGTCTAGTTGGTCGGAGAGCTCATTCACCGAATCTCCTTGTTTCTTGCGCATTGCGGCGATCTGCTGTTCATTCTGGAGACGAGCATCCTCAAGATCGCGCTTCAGCTTCATCATTTCCGCTTCGCGTTTCTTGTTCAAGTCCACTTGTTGGGCTGTAGCGCCGCCTTGCTCCTCGAGGCGATCGGCCATCTCCTCCAGTTCCGCCTCAACCTGTGGAATGTGAACACATTTTCTACCAGTCAACAGAGTCGATTCATCATAGTTAATTAGCCTAAAATTGGTTGCTACCCCGAAAATATGACTGACCTTCATCAACACAAGTAAGACAGGAAAAGACACACAATGCGTTTCCAGCAGTGACCTCGTTGCTTACGGCATATGCAAGTCTTACAAATAGACTTAAATATTTGTATGCAATTTGAGTGAAATGGATTGTCATAAGAAAATGTTTAGTCATTTCCGCTAATAGGGATTACCATAATACAATCAGGAGGCCTTACTTGCTTCTTAAAAGTAATATGGGCTCTACTTCTCCTTGTTTGACAATACATAATATTCCGCCAAACAGCCAAGGGTGCAATTAGGTGACAGAACTCTCTCAAGGCAAATCAGGCCTCTTCGAATAAAATATTTGATAGTGTGTTAAGAGAAAATTGCATTTACCTTTTAATAGATATATAGAAAGAAAGAAAGAAAGAAAGAAAGAAAGAAAGAAAGAAAGAAAGAAAGAAAGAAAGAA